CAATAGCAAATTAATTTTTCAAAAAGTTTTTCTGATATGCGATCAATATCTCCGTTACTAATTATTGCTACATTTCTTTGAAAATAATGAAATTTGAGATGATAAAAAATTAAATTTCGAGTAATTTTACATAAGCCCTTGGTAAATTATGATAAAACTCATATTCCCCTTGAACATTAATGAGAAAATAATGTTTTGATTGCTTAGATAAGAAAAAAATAACAATTGGTTATTTCTTCTAATTTTCGAGAATAACTTCCAAACAAATGATGGCATCTGATGTGGAAAAGGAAATAGAATTAAGTCAAATTAATTAAAATAGTTTATAATAGACCTTTGGAATTCTTCTTTTCCACTTTATATTTACAGAAGCTTTTATTTCATTTGTTCTTTCCACACCGGTTAAAACAATTTATGACGGTCTATCCTAAAATTCAAAATATTTTAATGTTAAAGAACGAAAAACGGCTCAAAATCTTATGTTTTTCGTTGCAAATTTTTTCCTATTTTCCTATTTTTTCCTATGCCTAAAATAGGAAAATAGGAAATAGGAAAATGACCGGGAAATCAGGAAATTTCCCCCCTAAAATTTCCCGATGGTAAGGTCTACACACGACCACCCCCTTCAACTTGCATTTATGAAGAGTCAGCTGTAATTCAATATATTCAAGATATGCATTGTTTTCTGTTGAAAAATTCACTCATTAGTAATCCACTGATCTGCTTTTAGAACGAGAAAATATTTTGCTATGACTTTTGTTCATTAACACTTAAAATTCCTTATTGCCTTGCTCGATATTAAACTGAATCAAAACAATTGTGTAGCTTGCTATAATTGATAATAATTCCAGTACCAGTTTGTTGTCAAAAACAAACAGATTGAAGATTTTAAGACAAGAATCATGTTGGATTATCTGAATGGCCAGAAAATCCATCTGAAACAAAAATCTATTAAATTTAATTATTCAAATCCTCCAGAGAACATTTATCTAATTACTTTCGATTTTGAATGTCTCTCCATGAGACTCGAAAATAGTTCATTTTTTTTCGAATTAATTCGCTCTCCTATCCGTGATATGTACCAAAAGTTGCTTAATAGAAAAACCAGCGCAAATGAAAATGCTATTACCATCGGCCAGTCACGTTCTTCTATGATTGAAAATAGAATATGAAAATCCTGTAAAAGAGTGCACACAGCATAAATAGATATTATATTAATTGCAAAATCAATTTCAAATATTTACAAGTAGAATAATCATAAATGTTGTTCCAGTTATAAAACTGGTCAGATGCATCCCAAAACTTTTGTTGAACTGCTCAATTATATCAACAATATTCTGATAATATCTTGCGAACTCAATTAGAACTTTACTTTCATAATTAACTGATTTAATATCATTTATTAATTTTAAATTTAAAGCAATTTGAAATTCTTCCATTGACAAAATAATGAAATTCTCAACATTGCTGATAGACTCAAACAAATTACAAATAGACAAAGTAGTAAAAATGTTCAAAAAACACATCACTAGTGATTTCATTGAGAACATATAAAAACTTATTTGAGTTAAAATCACTAATACTATTGCGAAAAACGAAAATCTCAATAAATTTCGTAGACACAATTTTCCCAATTTTTTCCAATTTTCGTCCGTCATTGGAAGTTCAAACATTTTCTGAAGAAAAATTTTTATTTCATGACGACAGAAGTAATTCAATAATTTTATAAGGATGAATTGTCCGTAACTTAAAACCAAAATAAGTTGTAAAGTTAAATTGTTCAAAGACGAGTTTTGCATAATTCTGATCATTTCGGGTGTTGCTATACTTTCAAACTCTTCATGCCAGTACGTAAAAATTAGCAAAACGTAAAGAAAATAAAGTAACGAAACCAAAGTTGTGACTGCATTTAAAACGATTGCTTGACGTGATGTTTGAAATTTTCCATCCTTAAATTTCAACGTGAATAATGAAGTTATATTGTAATAATAAAATAAGAAATAAAAAGTTTTATTAAGAGTTTTAGCCATCGATTGCTGATGAACTTGTTTTTGATTTTGAACTATCGACTAAAAGTGTTTCACTGAACTATCAATGATTTATGTTGAAATATTTTCTTATGAATGGAATGAACGTGTTACACCATCAGAAGTTAATTAATATATAAAAGTCAATAGAAAATTCCTATAAGAAAGTTGTGCGCGTCAAGATTAAAAGTCACTTTTGAGATTATGTTAATGGATGAAAAATACAATAAAATTTTTAGGAAACTGTAATTAGTCTCTTATAATCTTAATTTACAAATTACTTTTTAGATAAAATCAAAAATACTTAAAAGCAAAGTAAAAATATAATAACTTGACAACGAAAAAAAATTTTTAATTCTAATAAAACTGACAGAAATATGTATATAGTTATTGAAGAAAAATTTATTGAAATCAACTCGCTAATTAACATTTTCATTTCTTTTTGCCCTCTTCAATATTAAACTGAATCAATACAATTGTGTAACTTGCTATAATTGATAATAATTCCAGTGCAAGTTTGTTGTCAAAAATAAACAAATTGAAGATTTTGAGACAAGAATCATGTTGAATTATCTGAATGGCCAGAAAATCCATCTGAAACAAAAATCTATAAATTTAATTATTCAAATCCTCCAGAGCACATTTATCTAATTACTTTCGATTTTGAATGTCTCTCCATGAGGCTCACAAATAGTTCATTTTTTTTCGAAATAATTCGCTCTGATATCTGTGATATGTACCACCAGTTGCTTAATAAAAAAGCCACCGTAAAAGCGATTGTCATTATCATTGGCCAGTTCCGATTTTCCACGATTGAAAATAGAATTCGAAAAACCTGGAAAAAGCGTTCAAAAAGCGTAGATACATAATATATCAGTTGCAATATCAAATTTAGAATATTTACAAACAGAATTATTAGTAAAGTTGTTCCGCTTATGACACTGGTCAGATGCATCCCAAAACTTTTGTTGAACTGCTCCATTATATCAACAATATTCTGATAATATCTTGTGAACTCAATTAGAACCTTAGTTTCATTATCAGCTGATTTGATGTCATACATTAAATTTAATTCAATTTGAAATTCTTCCATTAAACAAATAATGAAAGTCTCAACATTGTTGATGGACACAAAAAAATTAAAACTAGACAAAGTTGTAAAAATGTTCAAAAAACACATCACTAATGCCTTCTTTGAAAAATTATAGAAGCTTATTTGAGTTGAAATCCATAAAACCATCGTGAAAATTATAAGTCTCAATAAATTATGTAGACACAATTTTCCAAATTTCTTCCAATTTTCATCCGTCATTGGAAGTTCATACATTTTCTGAAGTAAAATTCTGATTTCATGACGAAAGGAGTAATTTAATAATATCATCAGGATGAATTCCACATAACATAAAACCATAGAAATTCGTAGAGTTAAATTGCTCAAAGACGAGATTTGCAAAAGTTTGATCGTTTCAAGTGTTGATATACTTTCAAGCTCTTCACGCCAGATTGTATAAACTAGTACCATGTAAACAAAATAAATTAACGTAACCAAAGTTGTGAATGCACTATAAATGATTGCCAGGCCTGATGTTTGAAATTTTCCATCCTTCAATTTTAATGAGAATAATGAAGTCATATTGTAATAATAAAATATAAAATAAAAAGTTTTATTAAGATTTTTAGCCATCGATTGATGATGGACTTGTTTTTGATCTTAAACTTTGAACTTTAAAGTGTTTCGACTAAACTGTCAATGATTCCAGTTGAAATATATTTTTTGAATAAAATGAACGTAATACAAATTCAGAAGTCAATGAATGTATAACAGTCAATAGAAAATTCCTATGGAGATAATTCGTAGTACAATAAAGTTTATTGGAAAATGAAATTAGTCTGTAATGATCTAATTTACATACAAATGGTTTTCAATGACAATTCAAAATAGAAGCATGACAAAAACTATTACTAGCAGATTAATATAGAAATGGAATCCATCAGTTAATACTACAGAATCATTATTTAATTTTAACAAAATCGACATTAATATGAACAGAAATTCATCATCGTTATCAGATCAATTAAAAGGTTCACATTCAGGGACCTTCTTCATTCTAATGCCGGAGCATAGAAGTGGCATCTGAGCTTATTGACAAATGACAACGGCAACACTACTCAACCTCAATGATAACTTCAAGGAAAGTAGACCTTGGGCTGTTTTTATCATCATTTGACGAAAGAGTTTTTCCATCGAACCAATCTTGAACCAAAAATATGACAAAAGCACATTTATAACTTACAAGAAGAAAATATTTTGCTACAGCATTTTTCAAATTTCAGTGAATAGTTAAAATATTTAAAAATTCAGATTTTTGTGCTCGATATTATATTGTATCAACATGATTGTATAATTTGCAATAATTGATAATAATATCAATATTTGTCGGTTATCGAAAATATATAAATTGAAATTTTTAAGACATGAATCTTCTTGAATTATCTGGATGGCTAGAAAGTCCAACTGAAAAGAAAATTACTCTATGAAATTCAAGGAAGCATCGTAATAATCTTATACTTTTTTGAATGAGTGCATCTCCATGAGGCTCGAAAATATTTCATTTTTCTTAGAAATAATTCGCTCTCCTATTGCAGACATGTTCCACCAGTTGATTAGTACAAAAATCAGTGTTAAAGTTAATGACATTATCATTGGCCAGTTTAGATCCTTTTCTAAGATTAAAAATAAAATTTGAAAATCCTGGAAAAAATCATTAGAAGAGCATAAATAATATAATAAATACAATATCAAATTTCAAATATTTACACAAAAAATTATCATCAAAGTAGTTCCGGTTATAATACTGGTCAGATGCATCCCAAAACTTTTGTTGAACTGCTCCATTATATCAACAATGTTCTGATAATATCTTGCGAACTCAATTAGAACTTTATTACTTTCATGATTAGGTGATTTCAAATCATCCATTGAATTTAATTCAATTTGAAATTCTTCCATTGACAAAATAATGAAAGTCTCAACATTGTTGATGGACCCAAAAAAATTGCAAAAAGACAAAGTAGTAAAAATGTTCAAAAAAAATATCACTACTGACTTCATTGAGAACTTATAAAAACTTATTTGGGATATAATGACTACTATTATCGTGAAAATGAAAAATTTCATTAAATTTTGTAAACACAATTTCCCAAATTTCTTCCAATTTTCATCCGTCATTGGAAGTTCGTACATTTTCTGAAGTAAAATTTTGATTTCATGACGACAGAAGAAATTCAAAACTTTTATAAGAGTTAACAGCCCGTAACTTAAAACCATAATAAGTTGTAAAGTTAAATTGATCAATGGCGAGTTTTGCATAATTTTGATCATTTCAGGTGTTGCTATACGTTCAAGCTCTTCACGCCAGATTGTAATGACAAACACAAAGTAAACAAAATAAAATAAAGAAACCAAAGTTGTGAATGCACTATAAACAATTGCCAGGCTCGATATTCGAAATTTGCCTTCCTTTAATTTTAGTGAGAATGATGAAGTT